GCTGCGGGGGACCGGGGGGGGGCTGCCCCCGCCCCACCGGCTGCCCGCTAAGTGCACCCCTTCACATCCCTGCCCGGGAAACCTTCTCCCCGCCTTTCAGTCCCTTCTTCCTTCCCCAGCGCTTCTTCCAAACTTGTCGCTCTCCCAAACCTGACAAAACGCTGCGTTAAATCCTGCTTCTAATACGAGCACTCCTCACTTCAAAAATTATATGTATATTTTTTTTCCCAAATAAGATGATCTCGTATCTTTTTTTTATATGCTGGCTATTCTGAAAAGGCAGCTGTCTCCTGAAAGTTTAGTCACACAATAGTGTGAACTATCATTATCTTGTGAAAGCTATGTTTTAGTGGATATTTCGACATTTAGTGGCTTACTGACATTGCAGAAAACATGGCCAGTCTGTCTCAGAAACGTTTCCATTTCTTCATGCAGAACGCATTGTGTCTTCCTCAGGATGTCTTCACAGAAATGATGCCAAGTTCCATCTTTTTTTTGTATCTTGGGAATATATTTTTTCTTCTTTTCAGTAGATGTTAAGTGGACATAGACTACAGCTGAATGCTACATCTGGCAGAAAAGAGGAGAATGCCTTAGAAGGGATAAAAGCTAGAATAATTGATTCTCCTGTGTTAAAACAAAACCTTAACTTCTGATTTTTCTTTATAGTTGCTTTCGTTAAAGTGTTTGTGCTTTGCATGAAGGCTATTTGCCACGTGCTTTCCATTAGTTACTTTTTTTTCGCAAGTGATGCTAACTTTTGTGGGCTCTGGCTTTGTGAAAGTGCCGTTTGGTTTTCTTTTCTACTCCTTTTTTTTTGCACTGCCTGTTTGTTTTTTTTCCCCCTTAGTTCCCAGTACGTACCATCAGCAGGGTGACGCCTGGCGGTGGGAGCGCAGGGAGGAGGCTGCCTGCGGCAAGGTGTACCGGGCTGCTCTCACACACCGGCTAAATGAGAATTTGTAGTGCAAAGGGTGCATCATCTTATTCCAAGTGAACTCCATGGTAAAGCTCTCCTCAGAAGTCCTGGTGTAAGTTAGTGTTATGTGGACTACATAACAAAAAGCAAA